CCTCTAGACTTAGTCAATGTTTTCCATATGTGATTAGTGAAGGTCTTTCTCAAGAGTGTATGAATTCTATGCCACAAAGAGCGGGCTATAGGCTTGGTACTTTTCCAGGAAGGTACCTAGGCATCCCACTAAGTCCAAATAAACTTTATGTTAAAGCCTGGCATCCCCTGATAGCCAAGATCATGAGTAGAATCCAAAATTGGGGGTCCAAGCTACTAAACTATGTTGGGAAACTCCAAATCGTAATCTTCGTTCTTTATAGCTTAGTGAAATTCTGGATGGTGGTTTTCATATAACCAAAAAGATTCATAGCATAAATTGAAAGGCTTTGTAGAAACTTCCTTTGGGGAGTGGTAGAAAAGGCAAAAGAATAGCAGTAATAAGTTGGAACAAAATCACATACCCTAAGCAAGAAGGAGGTTTGGGATTGAAAGATCTCAAAAGCTGGAATCAAGCTTGCATTGTTCGTCGTATGTTGGATCTTCTATTAAAGCAAGAATCCCTATAGGTCGCTTGGATCACAACTAAAAACAAACGAAAGTGGTATGTTTGACTTTCGTCTCCAAATAAGGTCATTTTGTGATTTCGCATAACTTTGTGTTCTGTCATTAGATCATCATAAATATTTTATTTTGCATAGCTTATCAGGGGCTATTGTATTTTTAAAATTTCTTATAACTTTGTGATTTGTAAAAAAAAAATCACAGAGTAAGGTCCGTGATTTTTTGGAACGTGAAGATCTTGAAAAGTTATACAAAATAAAAAACGGCCTATTTGAGGCAAAAAATGACCTTATTTGAAGACGAAATTCGAACATACCACTTTTGTTTGTTTTTAGTTGCAAACATTTCGAAAAGTTATATAAAATATAAAAAAATTCACCTTAATTTGATAATCGAGCACAAAATTATTGTCGTTTGGTTTTTTTTCATATATCAAATACAGATTGCTGAGGTCAGAAGCGATCTGTTATAGATCGCTGCAGTGTCAAGCAATCAGTGAGATCAGTTTTGACTGAAACGATCAGTCCCCAAACATGTGTAGTTGTTTACACCAAAATTTAATCTTGTACCACATTGGTTAAATACAAGGTATTAAATGGCTCTACAAGGCCAACTTAATTATAACAATTAATCAATTAAGATAGACCACATGAGTTGGGTTTTCGGGCCTATAACCCAATTTCATCATGTGCCACTCTAGCCATATGTTCCAAAATTTAGCTAAGTGTTAGAGCCACCCCCATGATGTGCCCCGGGGGAGGGGATCATATTGCCACCCCCAGGACGTGGTGGTGGGGGGGGGGGGGGGGCATCTTACCGTCACACCCAGAAAGTGGTAAGGGGATGAGCATCATATTGCCTCCCCCAGGACGTGGTAAGGAGGTGGCCATCTTACCGCCACCCTCAGAAAGTGGTAAGGGAGGTGGGCATCTTAACGCCACTCTCAGAAAGTGGTAAGGGGGTGGCATCATATTGCCACTCCCAGGATGTGGTAAGGGGGGTGGGCATCTTACCTCCACCCTCAGAAAGTGGTAAGGGGGTGGTCATCATATTGCCATCCCCGGGACGTGGTGCAATATCATGGAGTGAAATATGACTAAGTAGGGAGAATGATGGTGCCATGAGTTTGTTTAAAGGAGGATGAATGGCCAAATTTGGCCAGGGCGAGGGGGCACTTTGGTATGGTAATGGGGGGTCAATGTACGCCCCATGAGGTGGTCAGGGGGGCCACCAACCTACCATCTCTATGGTATGATTAGGAGGTGGGATCAACGGGTCACCTAGATACTACCCCCATGAGGTGGTCAAGGGGGTGATGTGAGCACGTCTCCCTACTCTCGTAATGGTGAAATATTTTTGCCATTTTTAACTCATGTGATTCAAGTACCCACCCATATGGGGCACGCAATCTGCTTTCATGCCTTGGTCATTTTTGCTTTATAGACAAGCAAAGCTACGGAGGAGATACCAAGAGCAGAGAGTAAGGTCTCAAGAGGAGGGGGTCAAGACTGAAGAGGGTGGCACATCCAACGTCAGGGTAACCGTCAGAGCAGTTGAGAGGGTAACTGTCACTCCACGTGAGCAAAGAAGTTTCTCGGGGCAGTTACTTTTGGTGGCTATAAATAGGAGGTGCAGATGACAGAGAAAAGGTTCGCCAAAATCACACCAGACAACCAATTGTCAAACTTTATCTTTATCTTTTCCTTTTCTTCTGCAAATGTAGTCATAGCCATAGTTATAGTTTCGGAGCTCTCACTGAATCTCCATAGGATAGGGTTAATATAATTTAGTTTGCCTCGTAGTTCATCAAGAACATTGAACACCCTTGTTTGAACTTTGTTCAAAGAGGTGTGAACTACGTTTGTTAATTGTTTGTTTGGAAGTCAAAGGTGCATTCAATTATGTTCCATCTAGATTCTCTCGTCGGGAAAACAGTAGTTTATTGAGAATTTTTTATAAGAACCTATGTAATTAGGAAAAAAAAATTCAAAAATGTAAACCGTGTTATTAATCATTGTCTACGTCTCACCCACAAACTCTCTCTGCATCCTCTTGATGCCGCCGCGCTCCTCCACCAAAGAGTCATTTCACCTTCGAGGAGACATAACATGAAGCAAATCCCGTCTGAGAAGAGTGGTTTTGATTACCAATAATATTGACTTCGATTATTCTTTCTGATTACCTAGAGTAGTGATTTTGATTACAGAGAGATATGCCCCTGAAGGCAAATCCCTTAATCAAATCTGCATGCGCCCTCCCCCTTCCGGTTCTCATATTTGCATTGTCAATTGTAAAGATCCGTAGCGATTTCCGATTTTGATTAGTAGTAATAGTGTAGTAGTGTTTCTTATATGGATTAGTAGTAATTTTATTGTAATGAGAATTGATTTTTTAGTCTTGCAATCAAGGAGGCCAAATGTGGAAATCAAATTGCAGATCTCGTCGATTCCAAAATTTTCACCATCATCTCCTTCTTCTTTATTGGCACTAATTAGTGTTCTATATGGGCGGAAGCCTAGCAAGATAACGACGGCTCTTAGCCACCATTGAACGGCCTGGATTTGGCTGAAAATAGCACTATTGCCGGAAACCTCCCGCGAGTGGGAGAGTATGACTCATATAATTCTTTTGATTAACATAAGCGGCCCTCGTCTGAAATCCAACCATGGCCGGAAACAGTCTACGGTGTGGTACCACAAACGGCGAACTCGTCCGAAAACCTCCACCGTCGGAGAGTATTGGCAATTAATTGTCGGAACAGTTACAAGCCGTTGGCGAGTAATTTGCGAATTTTCAGTCCTAAATTTATTTTGCATTAATTTTTTTTTCTAAATGTGTAGGTAACAATTAATTGACATATTTATTGTTTAGTCTCATATTTATTGCCAAAATTCATGTCATTAACGGTATTAACCAATGTTCTACAATTTCAAACAATGAAGTCTTCCTTAGTGCATCAACTATGGTTTCTCATTTCTTTAGAAATAGTCAAATAGGGCTATCACCTGGCTCATGAATCAGCTTTGGCCTCAAATCGAAAACGAATAGTCAAGAAAACATTGAACATTTATTCTTTAGATGTCCCCTAGCCACTAGATTGTGGACTTTAGTGGGATTGAGTGAGACCGCCCCGACTATTAACTTTAGTCTATGGTGGCGACTTGTCATGGTCTCTGAGACCTCCCCATTCCACATTCTCCAATGCGTCTGCTTACTTTGGAGAATCTGGAAGTCTAGAAATAAAGTGATTTTTGAATTCTAACAACCTCATGTTCGTTCCCTAGCCAGACAATTCTACAACCAGGTCCTTGATATCTCTAACACTCTCCTCCCTCCCCAACCCCACATCTCTCTTCGTCCAAACCATCCAACCATCACTTGGGTCCCCCCGCCAGACGATTACTTGAAGATCAATTTCGACGCTACTGTTTGTGCCACCGGGTGTTCGTCTGGGCTTGTTGTCCTTGGGTCAGACGGACATGTGGTGTTGGCATTCGGGTTACAGCATCAAGGAATAGTCAACCCTTCCCTGGCAGAGCTCCTAGCCATTAGAGATGCTATTTCCATCATCACCTGAAGATCTTTTACTCACGTGGTAGTCGAAGGTGATTCCGAAGTGGTCGTCAAGCAGATCCGGCAAGGCATCATAGAAGACTCGATTGGTGGTCCGCTGTTGCGAGAGTGTCGTCAGATCCTTAGCTCGTTGTCCATTTGTATAGAGTTTAGGGCGGTTCCTAGAATTGCCAACACTGCTGCCTATAGATTGGCGCGTAAAGCACTGCTTTTGTCTCGTCTAGAGCTAGAATCTTTCGATTTTTTGGGCGGCTTCATTAGATAATATTGTAAGGGTCCTGCGTAGATTTGTATGAATAACTCTTGTCTTCTATTGATATCGATCAGAAAAAGAAAAAAAAAATCATTGTCTAAATAATTATCCAAAAAAATCGTTGTCTAAAGAAAATAAGAGCAATCCACGGAATTGGAACATTTTCCACGCGGAAAACACTAATATCAAGGGCTTCATTCGCTTCACAGTGTTTATCGAGGGGATACATCCAGGCAAATCCAGCAGCAGCAATTGATGTTCCCAAAATTTTCGCTGGATTCGTGGGGATTTGACTACGAGGCAAACGTCGGGTCTCGTGGCTCAGCACCTAACAACCGGGCTCGGTATCCAGCCAATGATCAACAAAGAAAAGTGAAAAAAGCCCCGGTTTCACGGAAGTTTTATCCTTTCGATGTTACTTTGGCCAAATTATTCTTACGCCATGTGATTCTGCTGCACTATGTATGTTCTTCAGCCGTAAGTGCCGGAGATGCTACTGTAAATATTATTACCGAGCAATTCTGTAGTCAAAGAAATAATTTTTACTGAGAAAGCGATCCTTGTTTTGTCCTGGCAAAGTGACAACCCTTTTCTTTTCTTTTCTTTTCTTATACAGGTATCAGTTGTTTTATTTTTATTCAAAAAGCCATCTTTGAAGCAAAAGTGTCTGTCCTTTTTCGCCGTTTTGTTTTCTTGTGGGTAGTGGACAAGGTGAGGAAGAAACCAAACACAAAATAAACAGGCTGAATGAAAAATTTGCCTTCTGCTTTACCTTGCTTTCCTTGCGGAGTGGTTGGCGGGTGACTCACACACTCCGCCTGAAAGAAAGAAAGAAAGAAAGAAAGAGTCTTTCTCGTTCATCTTAATCTGTCCCGGACCAGCTATTGTTCATATTTGGTTGGCGTCTTGTGGGAATTGCGGTAGGTGGGATTTCAGTTCAATTGGCGTTAAATTGGAAAGTCCTTTGAGAGGAATTGATCAATTTCCTTGGGGGTTCTGGTTGGTTTGTCTTTGAAAGCTTTAGAATTGCGGAGATGGGTTCGTGCGCAAAGCTTGCCAGGAGGGCTCTGGAGACCGAAATGCCTGTCATGGTTCAGGTACTGATTTGTTGTGCCAAATTCATCTGGGGTTCTGCACTTTTCTTTAAAATGGTTTGTACTTTAATATTCAAGCAGCCAAGGCTTCGATAGAATGGATAATTGTGTTGTTCTTTTCCCAGATTGTATGCACGAACTTTTGTATCTGCATGTGCTTATCTATAGAAGCAGGTATTGGGGGAAGTGTTGGTTCAAAAGAGATCGCCTTTTGGCTTTGAGAGTGGTCTTCTTTATTATTATTGTTGTTTTGGGTACTCTTCTTTTTGTTCTGGGTAATAGTTATTAAGGTTTTGAGCAAAAGTGGGCAGCAGATATACATATATCCATTGCTTGCCTTTTCTCAAGAGAAAGTTACATCACTTGTCTCTAGACACCTCAGATTCTGCAAACTGTCATATGATTGAATTGGTTGGGCAATTATGAAGAACGTTAGTTGAAAAGCGTTGCATCTGTTCTGCAGATACAGGAATTGGTCCGAGGTGCGAAAAATGCAGTTTCATTAGCTCAGGTATGCTCTTTCAGAATTTAAGGTGTTCATATTTTGTCTATATTACTGCTTAAGAACATGAACCAGCTGCTAGGGGAATCTCATTAGTGTTGACGTTTACCAAGTACCTTGACTATTAAGTATTCATACCAGGGAACAGTGTTAGATTTGATTTTTCTGGCAGTGCATTTTAACAATTTGCTCATTGGAAAGCAAGAAGCCAATGAAACTATAAAGAGAGTGTGCAAAGCCATTAGTCATGTTTCCATGTTGGAGTTTGACATCAGCGTCGTGGGTGGATTATCACTTAGAAAAGATGTGGAGATCTTTACATTACAAAAATGGTCTTGTTGCCTGATTAACTATAAATTTTGCTTTTGGGAATCCGAGAGGATTTAGGAGTTATCAATTATTGTTGCAACGTCTGATTATCAAACTTAACACCCAATTTAAGTTTGAGGTTCCTAACCCCCAAGCCAGTCTCCCTTCTATTGGTTTAGCCTCACCTTTGGTGCTTGATTACCAGATTAATTTCAATTTTTTATAAAAAGAGAGTCTTGAGTTGAGTGCAGGTTTATTAGCAGAAGCAGAAATAATCTTATTGCTCTCTTATACGTCTGAGTCTGTGCTCTCTCAGTGTTCTGCTGATTTTATGTTTTTCTTATTTTATTAATCACCTCTCCTCTCCGCAAACTCAACATACCAGGAACATTTATGCTCATAGACCGTTATCTTGGTTGAAATATTTGATAGGGGGTGGTCTATTGGCAGCCACCAAAGCAGGCAATGGAGAAGGTAAAAGAGCTTATATGGGAGCCTTCCATTAGCCGTTATGGTGCTGATGAGGGCATTCCCGAACTTAGAGAGGCACTCCTACAAAAGGTACTCAATGTAGAATGTATGTCTGTAACTTTGTCGGCTAATTTTTTCATGTCTCCAAAAGGGACAAGGTTTGATCCTGTGAAGTAAAGTGTATTGCCCCACTGTGATGATCAGAATCCTCTGTAGTTCTCTGGTTGAGATTTTCATAACTCGTAAAGATGGATTTGTTGCTTTCATCAGTTCATACAGTTTTTTCAATTGCTCAAATTTGTTTTGCAGTTGCAAAGTGAAAACAAGCTGACGAAATCGTCAGTCATGGTTACTGCGGGTGCAAACCAGGTAATGAACTGTGCATTTTGGAAATGCTTTAGTCCATTTTTACAAAATCTTTGGGGAATTTGGGTGGAAATTCTGTAAAAGACAATGTAAGAGTATTTAGTTAATTTTCTAGTGAGTTGGCATTCTGGTTAGTTCGTTCCTATACATACTTCAATGGTAAATTTTACTACCCTTTACCTTGTTTGCCATGGCAGGCATTTGTCAATCTTGTGCTTGCCCTGTGTGATGCTGGGGACTCAGCAGTTATGTTCGCCCCCTATTATTTCAATGCATACATGTCTTTCCAGATGACGGGTGTTACTAATATATTAGTAGGTCCAGGAGACCCAAAGACGCTTTATCCTGATGCAGGTGAATCTTCAGGCACCTTTCATTGTATACATTTTTCTACCTTTTGCTGCCCAAAGAAATGGAATGTCTCTCGAACTCCAACTAATGTAACCTAGAATCAACTGCTTATGCTACGTGTTCGGAATTGAGAGCTCTGCTTTAGCTTTACAATATCAAAATTTGGTAATGAACAAGCAATCAAAATTTTAGCTGTGGTGCAAATAAAGCAACAGAATTCAATGAAAGCTCTTTGAAAAAACACACGGATTTTCTTGTATCAGCTTTTGCTGATATTCGCAGAGACAGTGGATACGATTACTGCTTTAAATGGGCAATAATACTGTCGGCTATAGGTAAAGATGTATTAAAACTTCCAAATGTGCGTAGAAATTTCTAAACAAACTTGGGATCTTAGTAAATGACGCGGTATTTGTAAATAATAGACAGCAGCGTGAAATTTTTCCCACCATAATTTTTTTGCACCACATGTATGATTTGTAGGTGTTCAAATGATACAATTTGTAATCCATTTCTCAAATTGGAGCCATGTGTGATACATGTGTTTCTTGCTGCATTTTCTCCTCTTTGAGTGAAGCATCTATAAGTGTGTTTTTGTGCGCAGATTGGTTGGAGAAGACACTAGCGACTACCAAGCCAGTTCCAAAAGTCGTTACTGTAGTTAATCCTGGAAATCCATCTGGGACCTATATTCCAGAGCCCCTCCTTAAGGTAATATATGTGGACATTTGGAAATTATATTGACTGAAAGATGAAAGGCAGATTTCTTTGTTGCTAGTAATCTTCATCGGCCTCAGTCCAAAATATCGTAAATGCAGCACTCATGCTCATCAATGAATGTGAATATTATGATATGTCCCTATGTTGAAGATATGGCTTTTCTTTGTCTTGAGCAGAGGATTTCAGAGCTTTGCAGAGCAGCTGGATCCTGGCTTATTGTTGATAACACATATGAGTAAGTTTTTGTTTTGATCTATGTTGTGCTGTGTCTAGTGTTAGTTTGGTACTGAAGCATCTTTAAAATTTTCATGATGGGAAGTTTGGGCCGAGATCTTCCTTGCTTCAATGTTTTCAGAATATAATTGATCTGCTGTATTTTGTTCATGATTCAAGCTTCTAGGATCCTTACGTCTTGGATAATATAGAAAACAAGCTTTTTTGGGTTTTCATGAGGAAGGTGGTGGAGGCAGTGTGTCCTTTTGAGGACAGCCTCATCATTAACAATTTGACGTATTACCTATAGATTCAATAAACTCTTCTTCTAATTTCAATTCTAATGAGGGATATCATAACATTTTGTATATACAGAGTTTTTAGATGAGGCATATGATGTCACGATAGAAAAACTGGGTTCTTCTGGAAATCGTAATAACAATGATTATTTAATGAATAGCTACTAAAAAAGGGAGGACACAAATTACATGGCCTAAAATTTTGACTACTTACAAGGGTTAGAATTCAGTTCTTATGCAACCACAGACAGGGTCGACTACACAGAAGTTGCTCCCCGGCTCTTTTCTATACTGTGACATACTGATCAATGCGTTTACTAATATTGTGCCGGAATGTGTGACCCTGAACAATTTGAGTTTGCAGGTATTTTATGTACGATGGTCTAAAGCACACATGCATAGAAGGAGATCATATTGTCAATATCTTTTCCTTCTCGAAAGCCTATGGAATGATGGGCTGGCGCGTTGGATATGTAAGTAACCATCGTATCTTCCTCCTGTTCTCAATTTTATGTATGAAAAAGACAGTTTCTTTGAGCCGAGTTTAACTCATTGAACCACCTACAGATAGCCTACCCTTCAGAAGTGGAAGGTTTTGCGACTTCTCTCCTCAAAATCCAAGACAACATACCGATCTGTGCTTCGATAATCTCGCAGTATCTTGCCCTCTACTCTCTGGAAATGGGTCCCACGTGGGTGACGGAGCGAGTCAAAGATCTGGTCAAGAACAGGGAAATCCTCATGGAAGCACTGTCTCCACTAGGTAAAGATGCTGTGAAAGGTGGCGAAGGCGCAATATACCTGTGGGCCAAACTGCCGGAGAAGTATATTGACGACGGAAAAGTTGTACACTGGCTCGCTCACAGGCATGGCGTGGTTGTAATACCGGGTGGTGCATGCGGGTGTCCAGGCCATGTCAGGATCTCGTTCGGAGGTTTGGTTGAGGATGATTGCAAGGATGCGGCTAAGAGGCTGAGACTCGGGTTAGAAGAATTGGTAAACATTGGAATGGTGGAGTGAGGTGTTCTGCTTCGCGCTCTCGCTCTCTTCAGCATTGAAAGAGGACACAACAGCTTGCCAGTTCTTTGGTAGTGATGAGTTGTGATGGGAATAAAATGTTTGGGTATATTGCAAAAGCTACTCGGTTAAGTTGCATATTCTCCTTCCTCTGTACTCAGAGTTGATGGTTCTATACAATGCCAAATGGTTATTGCATGACATGTTAAAAACTGAATGATCACAAACTCTACTATCCACATCTGCAAACTAGTGGGCTGACCCGTGATGTGCAGAAAGCAGTATCAAAGATACCTATAGAACTAAACTTCTGAGGTCGTATTCACTAGGGTCTCTCTAGTTGAATACTCGAGAAATACAAGAGTGTTGCAAGACCAAACTGTAGTTGAAGTTACACTTTACACTTAGTTTCCAACGCAATTCAAAACAAGCAATTTAACAAGGTTGTTCGCAATGGAGAAAGATGTTCAAATTGTGCTTCCCCTTAGCCATACAAGTAAACTACTTTCTATGATACACTAAATTAATAGGATCTTAACAAGCAATCCACGCCTTCCTGTTGCTTTCAAGCAAAAAAAAAAAAAAAAAAAAAAAAGGAGAGCAATGATAAATTGTAACACCCTAGACCGGCCGGTCTCATAAATTTACCGAAATGTCCTTAATAACCATAAAAGGTTCAATATGAAAAGTTCGGAAGAAATATCACATCAATCAAATCCAAATTCAAAAGGGAAACACATTCTTAATCAGCAAAAGCGAACATCCGTCTCAAGTCCACTAACGAACAATGCATAAACTTTAAAAGTTCTTCATGAAACTTCCATAGCCACTAACCCCTCTGATGACATCCTGAACAGCAACTGTGCACCTGTGGGTGGTCTACAAGCTCCTGGTTTCTAGCAGCTCCTGAATGCGGGCGTTGGGGTCAGTCCTAATCCTAATTCCATTCTTTACATAATATGAAAATGAAGCAAAATGCAAATGGTTGCAAATGTTCATGCATAAAATATTTACTGGACTTGTAAATGATTTTTCTTGAAACATACATTCTTTACGAAAAGGGGGCCCCGAACTCAACTTAACTAGCACGCCACCACGATCACCGAAATACTTAAACATGATCGTATTACCCAGGAGTAGGGTTCGTGACCTCCTTATTACCCAGGAGTAGGGTTCGTAACCTCCTTATTACCCAGGAGTAGGGTTCGTAACCTCCTTAATCATAACATGAGGTGACCGTGTGCGGCTAGCTAAGTGAGGTTTAAAACATGATCTTGCTTGCTTATAAACTTGAACATGAATCTCATAAACGCATAACTCGACACATAAATATCGTATAAGGCATTCCGATTAACTCGAATAACATGCGCAATAAATAATTCTGAATGGAATACTAACTAGCCCCCTTAAACCACGCACCTTATTAACTCAAAACGCTTACAACGTGAAGATTGGTGTCCTTTGCTTGGGTGATTCACCTCTTGATCCTATGGCGAAAACCAAAGTTAGATCGGTTTGGTTTCGAGTTCTTAGTGACGGTACTTGATCGGTGGGGCTACTTGCGATATTTGCATAGTATGGCTAATTAACGTACCAATTAAAATACTAAAATCATATTGCTACATAAGTCTAATAGTTCAAGATCTTAGCCAATTTAAATACTTGAAAAACAATCATGCTAAGCTCACTTACCTAGTCGGATTCAAGAAGCGCATATTATAACACATATTTCTCTAATGAATAAACTAGTTAATTTACCCATTAACTAACTTAGATTAATCTAACTTGCTAATATCATTTTCTGGTTTAAATTGTTCCAATATCACACCCGTTAAACTAATATTTTCTAACTAATACTTAAATCATCTTAATCTATTAAGTTGCTTAAAAACCTCTTATCATATTATGGTCTTTATATTATTGGATAAAATAATTGATTAACTCAACTAAACCATTTTATCTAATTATAGTTATTATTTAATACCTTAGTCCAATCACTACTAAGATACCTATTTAATTAACGACTAAATAAATATACATAATTCATACTTATTAACCTACAGCTCTTTTAGTGACGGGTATGGAGTCTGTCACGAATTACCCATGCTATCCGTCTCAAAAGGTCTGGTATTTCTACTCACTGACTGGCCTTTAGCGACGACCCCATAACCGTTGCTAAAGACCTGGAATTCCGTCGCTAAATTCCCAGATTCCAACAAAGTCGAATAACTCACCAAAAATGGTGCTTTTAGCACGAGGGGTTGAGCTTCCTTACCTCTAATACGAGTCTAGGCCTAGGTAGGAAGCCTTAGGACCTCAATTCCTTGTTTGAATCGTCGTTTGGTCACCCCGCTCTTTCGCCGCCGAAGCTACGCCGTAGAAAGATCATTTGCTTGTTAGTTATGAAGCCTTGAAGCTTGAATGGAGAGGGGATTCGTTTTGCTTACCTACTGGTCGAGAGAGAATGGAAGGTATCAAGTCAGTAGCTACGGCTTGCTTCCTTTTCCTTCGGTGATGACGATTATGGCGATGATGAAAGGTGAATGGACCAAAGGAGGGAGTGAGTAGATGATGATGGGATGAACTTCTGGTCTTGAGAGTTAGCAGTACTGATGGGAGGTATTGAGATTGGGAGGAATGGCTTTGATGGTGCAATTTCCGGGCGATCGGGGGAAGAAGGATCGTTAATTTATTGAACTGAAGAGAAGGATTTGTGATAGGGAGGGTGCACCGACACCATTGCCAGCTCCTCATGTCCCTCCAATTTAATTTCCAACTCCCCATGTCAGAGGCATGAATGGAGTTATTACATTTCCTCCCCCGTTATAAAAATTTCGTCCCCGAAATTGAGAAACTGAGTTCATAAGAAGTTCATGATTCTTCACTTTTATTACCGATCATATCTTATTACCGCCAACAAATCATAATCAAATTATACCGATTACAAAGGTATGTCAAGAAACAACTCAGGATAGTTCTTCCTTATGTCCTCCTCGATCTCCCAAGTGGCTGCTTCTGTGCCTTGGTTCCTCCACACCACCTTCACCATTGGAACCTTCTTCCTTCGTAGCTCCTTATCTTGGCGGTCGATGATCCCGACTGGTATCTCATTATAGGTCATGTCACTATCCAGTTGAATATCTTCTAACTCCACGATGTGGGTTGGGTCGGATCGGTACCCTTTGAGCATGTTGACATGGAATACATTGTGGATCTTGGATAGATTTGGAGGTAGTGCGAGCCTATACGCCAGAGGGCCTACCCGCTCCAATATTTCATATGGTCCAATGTATCTTGGACTCAACTTGCCCTTCTTTCCAAATCTCATAACCCCTTTCCATGGAGAAACCTTCAAGAATACCTTATCTCCCACTTCATGAGTCCTCTCCTCTCCTGGCTTGTCTGCATAGCTCTTTTGACGATCCTGAGCCGCTTTAATGTTTTCTCGTATTTGCTTAACTTTGTCGACTGTGTCTTGTACTAGTTGTGGGCCCTCAATTTGCCTTAATCCTTCCTCATCCCAATATAGGGGAGATCTGCACTTTCTCCCATACAAGGCCTCATATGGTGCCGCCTTTAGGGAGCTGTGGTATTGATTATTATAAGCAAACTCCATCAGAGGGAGATACTTGTCCCACGATCCCCTCATCTGCAATGTACAAGCCCTCAATAAATCCTCCAACGTTTGTATCGTCCTCTCTGTCTGTCCATCAGTCTGAGGATGATAGGCAGTTGAGAAATGAAGTTTGGTTCCCAAAGCCTTGTGAAGGCACTTCCAGAACTGGCTAGTGAAACTAGGATCTCGGTCTGATACTATGGTTAGGGGAACTCCATGTAGTCGTACCACCTCTTGTATGTACAAGTCTGCCAATGCATCCACCCCTGGCTTGAACTTGATGGGGATGAAGTGTGCTGACTTAGTGAGACGATCTACAATCACCCAAACTCCATCATTACCCCACTCCGTCCTCGGTAATCCATAGACGAAATCCATGGTGATGTGTTCCCACTTCCACTCTGGTATCTCAAGTGGCTTTAGCTTCCCTGCTGGAGCTTGGTGCTCTGCTTTCACCATTTGACAGACTAAACACTTGTGCACAAACTCAGCTGCCTCCTTCTTCATATTGGGCCACCAAAAATGTTCTTGCAGAGTCCGGTACATCTTGGTCGATCCTGGGTGCATGGAATAAGGTGCACAATGAGCTTCATCCAGGATTTCTTGCCTTAAATTCTCCATGTTAGGTACACAAGCTCTACCCTGGAAGAGTAACATCCCATCTATGATTTCAAACTTAGTATCCTTCCCATCTTGTACCTCTTGAATAAATTTGGCCAAAACTGGATCATCCTTTTGCTTCTCCTTAATTCGATCATGCAATAGTGGTCTAATCTTCAAATTAGCCATCATGCTAGTAGCGCCCTCCAGTTTTAGTTCCACATTCATAGCCCTGAGTGCCACAAGCTCAGTTATTGGACCGTGCTCCTTCCTGCTTAGTGCATCGGCCACCACATTAGCTTTCCCAGGGTGGTACTCAATGGTACAGTCATAATCACCCAACAACTCCACCCATCTTCTTTGTCTCATATTCAACTCTTTTTGATCCGTGAGATGTTTCAAACTCTTGTGATCCGTGAAGATCTTGAAAGTCTCACCATAAAGATAGTGTCTCCATAGTTTTAGAGCAAACACGACTGCAGCTAACTCTAGATCATGGGTTGGGTAGTTCACCTCGTGTGGTCGTAATTGCCTCGAAGCATAAGCGATCACCTTCTTATTTTGCATAAGAACACACCCCAACCCTTTGTATGATGCATCACTATAAATGGCATACTCTCCCTCGCTTGATGGTAGCGTGAGTACTGGTGCAGTAGTAAGCTTTCTCTTCAGCTCCTCAAATGCTTCCTGACATTCCTTACTCCAGTCGTAAGTCATTCCCTTGCGCAGTAGTTGGGTCAGAGGTCTAGCAATGCGAGAGAAACCCTCAACAAACCTTCTATAGTACCCAGCCATGCCAAGAAAACTTCTCAATTCTGGAACATTTTTCGGAGGTGCCCAATTAACCACTGCCTCAATTTTCTTTGGGTCTACTTCAACTCCTCTTCCAGAAACCACGTGGCCCAAAAATAATACTTCTTTTAGCCAGAATTCACACTTAGAGAACTTTGCATAGAGTTTCTTTTCCCTCAGTATCTCTAATGTGATCTTCAAGTGTTCTTTGTGCTCCTCGTAGCTCTTCGAGTAGATGAGAATGTCATCAATAAATACAATGACAAACTTATCCAAGTACTCATGGAATATGTTGTTCATTAGTGCCATGAATGCTGCCGGTGCATTGGTCAACCCAAAAGGCATTACCAAGAATTCGTAGTGGCCGTATCGAGTACGGAAGGCTGTCTTTGGGATAGAGGATTCAGCCACCCGCAACTGGTGG